ACATACATACATACATACATACATACATACATACATACATACATACAGCATCAGTTAAATACGGTGAACATTTACTATGTGCGGCATGCCCGCATATGAATGCGACTCTCTTATGCAATCGTAATCATCGCGCATGTTCAGACTTTGAAGGCAATTCATATATATATATGCTTTCGAATACATATATATATATGTATATGTACACAGAATAATATATATATATATATTATCCCGGAACGCCCCGTGCAATCTCTTGAAAAAGCACGTCCGTTTGTCCTGCCTTGCGCCTCACGATCCTCATCAAAGCAGCACTCCTGCTGGTGCACATCGCCTGAACGAATGGTCAAGTCTCAAACGCCAAAATAGTAATATGCAACTATTAGTTGAAATCATTTATTCGTGACCGATGGATGCGTTAGTATCCTGAAATGCACCCAAACACAAGGGGATGCTGTATTCCTCCAAGAAACCTCGACAAACAATTCGGTGAAACATTGCCAGCACGCCCTAGTTCACTGCCAAACCGCTCCAAGGATTCAAAAACCGAACGCAAGCCCAACGCCTGAAGCAGGTGAGTCTCGCCGTTGAAACCTGGAGGCCATGGAGCCTCCGGGGGGAGCCTGCGACTTAGAACATATCACTGGAGCCGAAATGCCAATGCGACTGGCCCTCTGAGTGTCCATCTCAAGTGGTATGGTACATATGCAAAAAGGTGGTCATGATGCTTCCATCCATGGCAGTCACCTTAGTCATGTCCTTGGAACAGGTCGTGCTGAACCCTATGCGGTCTGACAGAAGTCGTGGTGAGGGATGGTGTGCCATGCCAGTAATGGTGCGTGCTGGTCAATGGGATCGATGTATCACGGTCACTCAAGGCGCTCTCCTGTAGTAGGATGAAAGCCAGTCTAAACCCTATCTGGGCAGGTCAAAAATACGGAACACTACACCCTGCTGGTCTTTATCAATCTTTATCCTGTGGACAAGACTCTTCAATCGCACTGTGGAAGGCCTAGCAATGAAACAACGTCTGGCAGACTTGGCAGTGGGTCCTTCTCATCCGGCTCGTGGTCAACCATCTTCCTGAATGGTGGTCATTTTTATTGAGGATAGGCACAACACACGGGAGCTTGCAGCACTTGGTTGCCTGCAGCACACTACCATATAGTGCCATGCTATATGTGTCTGCCACACAAGAGCCTATTAAGTTCCTCCGAACACTTGGTGCTGGTTGCAGAGATCTTGGGCCATGCACACCAAACCTGCATTTACCAAGATTGCTCACTCTCAAAAACAGTGAATTTCCAAAAGCTTGCGAAACCGAAACTCGGCATCAAAAAAGCTCACTTGGAGGTGCTCACAGTTGTCGAAGCATGCCATGCTGATAACACCCGCCAGCTTGTTGCATTCCAAGCATCTTGGCCACCGTGACCTGTGTGAATCTGTGAAGAGCTGAAAGATATAAAAATACTACTGCGCAATTGCACACGATATCGGATCTAGATGGACTGTATGACAGAGATGGACTTCCTGAATACCTCAGAATGTGCGTGGTCTTGTGAACAGGACGAAATGAACAGGACGAAATAAACACAAACCACTCTTCGAACTCAACGGGTGCTGACACGCGTTCCATTCATCATTGGCAAGCAGTTTGTACCATAAATTCTATGGCAAGACAGTCATTGCATCTCCTGTCCATTCCTGTCCTATCCAGGCACATCTTTTGGGTGCAATAAATAGTGGCAAGCAAGTATAGCCAAACACAGCCTCCTCCTGCAGCTGTGCAACCTTGGGCGCTCATCCATCCGGACATTGCTATTGGGACAGAAGGCCCCAACCAGCGGATCAAGGCCCCAACCCTGTTTAAAAAGAACACATGAGGAGAACGATGTTCTCCGGGTGGTTTTCACCTTATAACCTATGCCTATACCCCGAACCCATCAACCATATCAACCTGCGTCTTTCGCCCCGAGACGCATTTACTTCGAATTTAGACGCAATATTGGCAATACTAGCTCACTCATTAAATCCACACACATGTCTATCGTAGATTTGTTGTTGGCGTCATGGAACAATCACTTCTCGGTAGATTACTTTTATGGCCAGTGATTGTATAAGAATGGTTCAATACAAATCACAGTTACTGTATCTGATGACAAAAAACAAGTTCCAAATCTTTCCCAAATATTGACACACCTTTTTGACTCTGACATCAACTGATATTCATTGGAGCTCTAAAATGTAAAACGTTGCCTCAGTTGTGGTTTGTATTTGGTCCATTGCGTCGGATCACTCATTTGACTTTGATCTCACAAACCCAATGTGTGATCATATGTGTGGTGGCATTTATTTGGTACTAAACTCAAATACACTATCTATTATGTGGGGGCCCCATCTCGTTTAGACTACTAAAGTAGGAGGTCATGTCACAGTATCTTGTTCAGACTACTTTAGTAGCAAATCACACTATATCGTTCAGACCACTTGAGTGTCATCAAGCAAAAGTATCTCGTTTGTGTGGGGGCCCTATCTCGTTCACAAGCGAATACTGATGATAGAGAAGCAAATAGAGCGTGCTGGGCACTTTAGTAAAGCCTAAATAAATGTGGTTGCTCATATGTGGCTCGAAACCCTGTGCCCCCTACCCTCACACCCAAAAGGTGATCACAATCCCCAAGGTATTCACCACCCTTCATCCAACCCCACAATTGGGCGTGGATCCGCAACCAATCTGAGGCAACAGCTTTGGCCAGTAGCTGGGAGTTTCGACGATTGGCTTCAAGTAGCCTTGCAGTCCAGTACCCTTTATGAATCTTTATGATGGGTTCCGCCATCTTTGAGTCTAGCGTCCGGACATGATTGGTCGTCAGGTCTTTTTGCATCCCGTTGCCAATCTCCGGGAAGAGGAATCCCAACACCCCCAAACGGTCTTTTAGTAACAATTATCAACGTTTCGGAGTATATATATTTGGCCATGCATCATCATGGAATCATGACTGATCATAAAACCAAAGATTTCCAGAAGGGTATTGTCAAACTACCACCCTGCTGAGGCTGGCACTCCTGCTGTAGTCGTGCTACCTGAATGCATTCTTGACGAACGTACACAACACTCAGATTATTGACAAAACCAGGCCGGCTGAGGTGGATGGAAGCATTGCAGTATAGTAAAACAATTGGCAAATAAATCTATTCTCAAATTAACAACATTGATGAAGGTGTCCATATGCCTGGTCTAAAAAAACAAAACAACAACAACAACAACAACACGACTCTGGCAAATGTATGTTATTGGCGCGTTCAATCTGACGTCATTCAAATTACCTTACACACTCCAAAAACTCACCAAACATTACGTTTTGTAGTGCGTTGCTCATATACGAGACTCACGGTATTGTGGACACCCTTCGCAATATGGAAACCTGACAATATGATACAATATGTACTGTTCTCCAATCTTCACCTGCCCACAACAATACTTTGGTCCAGGGCTTTTGCTGGTCCCAGCAGCGCCACAACCAGAGCGTTGCTCGCGCCATTCAGGGTGCGCACTGATTGTTTCGAGATATCTCCACGTCAAGTTCCCTTTTCAAAGTTCCTGCTGCCACCGTCGGCTCAAATCTTTTGTCTTGAGTGCACGCGCAGCAGTGCAACATAGCCCCAAAATGGCCCAAGCAGTGCAACATGGCCCCAAGATGATGGGCCAACATGGCTCCAAGATGGGTCAGCAAAGCCCATCCTGGCCTGACACCCACAACCACGACCCACCACCACAACAACCACAACAACAAGAAGGCACAACATGGCACAACCAAAAACTGCAGCCCGTCAGCCGTCAACACACATCTTCGCTCTTTGTCTCTTACCCTCTCCTCCAAACAAAAACTGCAGCCCCAATGTTGTCTGCAGCCCCGATGTTCTCTTGTGACCCCCCCAGAGCAACACCTCAAAAACACAAAAGACGAGCCCAACCAGACATGAGTGAAACAAGTCAAGTCCAACAAGTCCAGCTACTAATTACGAAGCGACAACATTCCCCCAAACCTTCAACCGTATGCCTAACCTTGTCCCCTTGAAGTTGCAAAGTTACAACATGTGACAACTATTATGTTGGGTGGTGTTACTGTTATTGCTTTTTATGTTTTTTTTGCATCTAACAATATAAAAAAACAAAACAAACAAACAAACAAAAAGCAGCAGCAACAATAACAACCGCCCCTCCCCTCTCCCTTTCCCTTCCGTCCTCTTTCCCCCTCCCCGGTTGTGGGCCACTGGCCAGCTTTCGAGCGTAAGCCGTAAGCCCGTAAACAACAATTCCCCGGTTGGGACTGCAGGACCATACCCATACCATACCCATGGGCATCTGCGTCAAGCCTTGCCTCTGCTTGCAAAGCATCGTTGCCATAGCCCTCTGTGCGGCCGGCCTTTCCCATGGCCCTTTTCAGCCATGGAAAGACGTTTGGAAGCTGAGGAACCTCGGTCCAATCCTCTGACAGGACTTTAAAAATATTCTAACATCAAACGTCCATTCTGGCCGAGAAATCAGAAGATCAATCACCAAACCAAACGTTCACTGGTACCTTCTGCTGCGGGAAAGTCACAACGTGAGACTTCCTAGCTCTCATAACGAAAGGGGCCTGCAGAAAGTGGTTATGTGTTGGTGATGCTTCGTTCGAGTTCTTGAGTGCTTGAGCTGCAACATGGATGCCAGAACAGCAACTCTCAATCATTTTGCCTTGCAGGCAAAACAAAGATGAGCGTGTCCTGAACTGCCACACTGAAACATGCAGAAGAACCGAACAACTTTGCGGTCCTTTTGGCTAGCATTTGCTTGTACTGTACATTGCACTGTCACTAGCACGAGGTGTTGCACGATCAATCTAGGATCTTCAGAGTTGCAGCAACTGGCCAATCTGGGCAATGCCATTGGCTGTTTACGCCATCATGGCAGCAGCAAGAGCTGCATCGAGCCTTGGTAGTTCTGGCTGCATCGACAGAAAACTGTAAACCCCGTGTTGTTGTCTCTCTTGCCATTTTTTCTCAACCAATCCACCCAACCCAATTTCCTGCATGGATTTGTATCGACAAATCGGTTCCCTAGTCTCCCGGCAGGCTGGGATCCTGGGCTTTCCTTTCGACGGAGCCACAGGTGAACAAATCGGTTCATCCCAACAAATGCCACGTGCAAAACACAGGTGCCCAAACATGGGAACCCCATGTTTGAAAGCCATGGTGCGCGCTGCTCAGTGGATCGTCGTTCTTTTTGGCACGCTTGGCGCTTGGCGCGGACCTCCGAGGCCAATGTTTCACATGCACAGCAGGACAACAAAAGGTGGAACGGTTCACTGGGAAGATCATGAAAGATCAAAAAGAAATGGTCTTCCCCTCTCTGGAACTCCACAAAGATCATTTTGGAGGACCACAAACGATAGATTACCAAAAACAACCATGCGCAAACTCAAAATTACTCTACTGTACTTCGAGTGATCCCCACCATGACATTTCAATCGTTTGTCTTGATGCCATAGGCTGCCATAGTGAGGAGCATGTTGCCATGGTCGTGAGTATTGTAGTTTTGCTTGTGGGTCCTGGGGTTGTGTGCTGTGGTTGTGTGTTGTGGTTGTGGTTGTGGTTGCGTGCTGTGTTGTGGTTGTGGTTGTGTTTGTGATTGTGTGTTTGTGGCTGTGTGTTTGTGATTGTGTGTTTGCGGATGTGTTTGCAGCTGTGTTTGTGGCTGTGTGCTTGCGATTGTGTTTGTGGCTGTGTGTGTGATTGTTTTTGTGGTACTGGTAGTGGTTGTAATTGTGTGCTTGTAGTTGTGGTTGTGATTGTGGTTGTGGTTGTGTCTTTGTGATTATGTGTTGTGGTTGTGTGTTTGTGGTTGTGTGTTTGTGGTTGTGTGTTGTGG